CTACTACTGCTACTACTACTACTACTACTACTACTACTACTACTACTACTACTACTACTACTACTACTACTACTACTACTACTACTACTACTACTACTACTACTACTACTACTACTACGACTACTACTGCTACTACTACTACTACTACCGCTACTACTACGACGGCGGGTATTACTACGGCTACGGCTACGACTACGACTACGACTACGACGGCTGCTATTACTACTACTACCACTACTACTACTACGACTACTACTACTACTACTACTACTACTACTACTACTACTACTACGACTACTACTACTGCTACTACTGCTACGACTACGAGTGCGACTACGAGTACGACGGCTACTACTCGTACTACTACTACTACCACTACTACTACTACTACTACTACTACTACTACTACTACTACTACTACTACTACGACTACTACTACTACTACTACTACGACGACGACGACGACGACGACGACGACGACGACGACGACGACGACGACGACGACGACGACGACGACGACGATCCGTAGCCATTTTGGCTCAAGCCAGCTTGGTTCAAGCGTGCTTGGGCAGGCGATGGCGCGGGAGGTTCTGCGGGGCGCGGCTGGTGCCCGTGCCTCGGCAGACCGTCTGGTGCGGAAGTTGGTCAAGCAGCACGCGGAGGCCCGCGAGGATGCCGACTCCCTGAGGCGCACCCTTCGGCAGCTCCTGGGCGGCTTCGAGGATCTCATCGGGGACGCGGAGCTGGCGGACCGCGTGGTGGCGCTGATTCCTGCCTTGCGCGCACTCCTGAAGGGCGAGACGCCCTCGCCCGAGGACGTGCTCAGGCGCAACGTCGCGCTGCACGCCGACGCCGAGGGCGAGAGCGTGGCAGAGGCGCGGCCCGCGCGCCTTCGGCAGATGCAGAGGAGTGCGCGTCTCGAAGCTCGTCTGCAGGGCGTCGGTGGCGCGGAGGTGCTCGGGCAGAAGCTGTGAGCCGTGGCGGGCAACCCGGCCGTGCTTCGCGAGCAGGCTGCCCCGTTCTGGCCGCGGCACCCCCCGGGAGTCTGGGAGCAGCTGGACGGCGCCGGCTGGGAGAGCAGGACTGCGAGCGGTGCTGCACGCGCGGAGGCGCGGCCGCCGCGGGCGCGGGACGCCTCCCTCACGGTCCAGCGCGTTGGGCCTTGGGAGCCGCTGCCCCCCGTGTGCATCCGCTGCACGTGTGGCGCCGTGGTCTTCGCCTCGGCTGGTCTTCACGCGCGTGCTGACGCTGCGGCTGGTGCTGGAGAGCCTCTGCCGACAGGCTCCGCGGGCTCGGGTGGTGGTCACGTTGAGGCCGTCTCCAGCCCCGTGGGCAGCGCGGCCGACTCGGCCGAGTTCGACTACCAGGAGGTGGGCGCTGCCGACGCTGAAGTGGATACGACCTGCTCGGTGTCGGAGGCGGCGCCACAGGCCAGCACTGCGGTTCTGGCGTACCTGCACGCTCACCCTACGGCGCTCCTCTCGGGAGGCGGCGGGGCCCTCGCGGCTCCTGTGGCTGGCGGTACTGGTCCTGGCGCTGGTTTCGAGGGCAGCCGCGTCCGCAGGGAGCGAGGTGCAAGCACGGGGCGGCGCGCCCGCCGCGTCCGCTTCGACCTGCGCCCCGTCGTCATCGGCACGGCCTTCGAGGAGGAGTCGGAGGAGGCCCCCCCGCGCGGAGGCGGGGCTGGCGGCGTGGACGAGCACGTCCGCGGTCTCTGGGCCTTTTTGGACGACCTATCGGTAGCATCGATCGCCTGTGCTGCTCACGGGCCCTCGCTCGCGCTCGAGAGGCTCCTCGTCCTTGCCGAGGCCCAGGTGCAGGACGGTTAGCCTTGCGTGCGGACGCTAATTCCGTTTGCTCCGTGCATTCGCTTTTCTTGTATTTGAATGTGTACGTGAGCTTGCAATCGCGGCGCTTCGCGCCTGGCACCCGTGGGGCCTAGGGTTTTTCGGGGCTCTTCCCCCGCTCCTGGGGCTCCCTGGAGGTGCGGAGGTGGCCCGAGGCGGCCCCTCCTCTGGTGGAGGGTGGCCCGAAGCGGCCCCTCCAGGAGCTACCCAGCCTTCATGGCCCCGCAAAGACAAAGACGACGACGACGACGACGACGACGACGACGACGACGACGACGACGACGACGACGACGACGACGACGGCGACGACGACGACGACGACGACGACTACGACTACTACTACTACTACTACTACTACTACTACTACTACTACTGCTACGACGACGAAGACGACGACGACGACTACTACTACTACTACTACTACCACTACTACTACTAGTGCGAATGCCACTACCATGGCTACTACTACTACTACTACTACTACTACTACTACTATTATTACTGCGACTCCTACTTCTAGTACTACCACGACTACGACTGCTACTGGTACTATTACTACGAGCACGGTACTGCTACTACTACTGCTACTGCTACTACTGCTACTACTACTACTACTACTACTACTACTACTACTACTACTACTTCTACTGCTACTACTACGACTACTACTGTTACGACGACTACTAGTACTACTGCTACTGCTACCCGTGGTGGTAGTGGTACTAGCACGAGCACTCTCACAAAACAGGTGCTGTAGTACAACTATCAGTGGCTGCACGAGTGATAATAATATACGTAGTAATAGCACTGGAAATATAATATGATAGTGATACACATACCAGGAGAACTAATAGAAGTAGTAGTGGTACTCCTACTCATGGGCTTAGTTGTAACAATCATACTAGGGGCAGTACTACTCGTAACAGAAGTATCGAGCACTCCGAGTAGCAGGAGTAGAACAAGCAGCGGTAGCAGGAGTGGTAGCAGCAGTAGTAGCAGTGGTAGTAGTAGTAGTAGTAGTAGTAGTAGTAGTAGTAGTAGTAGTAGTAGTAGTAGTAGTAGTAGTAGTAGTAGGGGTAGGGGTAGGGGTAGTAGTAGTATAGTACTAGCAGTAGTAGTAGTAGTAGTAGTAGTAGTAGTAGTAGTAGTAGTAGTAGTAGTAGTCGTAGTATCAGTCGTAGTAGTAGCAGTAATAGTGGTAGCAGTAGCAGTAGGTCGTAGGTCTAGGCGAGGGAGTGAGGGCGCATTGCTCAGGCTGCCTCCTGCGCGGGGCCCTGGCTCAGGGGCTCGCGACATCGTGGTCGCTCATGGGTCGCGCGTTCTTTTTTTCATGTCTGCTCAGTTCCATCTGCTGCTCGCAGTGTACACTACCTCTGTTGTTTCTGCAGGTCGTCATCGAAGGTTTGCTCGGGAGCCCGCGCGCGACGTCGTGGTCGCTCATGGGTCGCGTGGTACGTCGTCAGTTTAGTTGGAAAAAAGCAACCATCGCTTCCAGCAGGGGGGGGGGGGGAATAGGCCAGCGCCCATATATATATAGATGTACATGCGCACACATGAACATATATATATATATAGCCCCCCCGCGCGCACCATGAACCCCAAACACGCGTGTGATATATGAATGCATGCGCGATTCGACCAACGGCTTTCGCAATTAGTTGGGCGTTTCTTTTCTGAGAGGATTTTGTTGGCTCAAGTTCGGAGCGATATTTGCCCCGCGCAAGCGCGGCCGCTTCCACCGGCCCATGGAATGGGCCGGGTCGCGGCGGTCGGTCGCGTCGCTCCACCGCTCGGTCTGCAGCCCCGGCGAGGAGGTTTCCAGCATTAACGGCCCCTGCCCCCGACGCAACGCCCAATGCTCAACGGGCCCCTTTCCTGGTTGGGGCGTCTTCAGAAACCAAACCGGCGTTCAAAAACATCGAGAGCCACCGCGTCGCGGAAGGCTCGGCGAGGGGGCCGCCGTGTCGCGGGAGGCCCGGCGCGCGGACCCACAGCGCTGGGGCGCTGCCATTTTACGGAAGACCCTGCGAAAAGCCTCCTGCGCTGGGGGCCCGCCATGTTGCGGAAGACCCGGCGACAATCCCCATGCGTTGGAGAACCGCCACGTCGCGGAAGGCTCGGCGAACAGCTTCCCGCGTTGGGGGCCCACCGCGTTGCAGGAGGCCCGGGGCCCAACGGACGCCCCCCTGCGTCGGGGAGCCGCCATGTCGCGGAAGGCCCGTGCGGTTTTTAACGCCCTGGTCCCGGCTCGCCCCCCGAGCAGAAGCAGAACGCGCACATGGCCTTCTACGCAACGCCTTCCGTCTACAACGCGACGCCCTGCACTTGCCAGCCTTCGCGTCCAACGCAGCGCCCGCTGCTCAACGGGCAGCTTCCCCGAGCTGAACTTGAAAGTGACCTCCCTAGTCAACCCCGCCCGCCCCAGACGCGACGCCCCGCGCTCGAGGGCCTCCGTTTCCAACGCAACGCCCACTACTCAACGGGCGCCCTCCGCAAGCCGATCTCGAAAACAACCTGGGCGCAACTCCTTCCGTCTGCGCCGCAACGCCCGGTGCCCGGCGCCCTGCGTCACCAACGCGCGGACCAACCTGCTCCGAATCCTCGCTTCCGCGGCCGGCGCGCGCACCTGAGCCCCCTTTTCTTTGCCGTATTTCCAGAAAGGAACGGGGGGTCATGGCACTTGCGCGGACATATATGGTCCCGGGCTCCGGGCCCACGGCTCCCCCCCCCCCAGATGGTATGGTCCCAGGATTCCTCGGGCCCCCCCCCCCCCAGATGGTATGGTCCCAGAGACGACGACGACGAAGACGACGACGACGACGACGACGGCGACGACTACGACGACGGCGACGACGACGACGACGACCACGACCACGACGACGACGACGACGGCTGCGGCGGCGACGACGCCGGCGGCGGCGGCGGCGACGACGACGACGATGACGACGATGACGACGGCGACGACGACGATGACGACGACGACGACGATGACCACGACGAGGACGACGACGACGACGACGACGACGACGACGACCTCTGAACCACCACAGCACCACACCACATCCACAGGGGGGGCGGGAGGGAGGCACACCACAGCGCAGCACCACGCCACGCCCACCTCTGAACCACCACAGCGCCACACCACATCCACAGGGGGGGGGGGGGCACCGCAGCACAGCACCACGCCACGCCCACAGGGGGGGCCGGGGGGGACCATCGCGCGGGGGGGGGGGGGGGCAATGGCATCAGCATTGGGGGGGGCGGGCCCCAGCCAGCCCTGGACCATATATAGGCGAGGAGGAGCCGAAATTTATAGACACACATGCATGCATACATACATGCATGCATACATACATACATACATCCATACATACATGCATGCATGCATGCATACATACAGACAAACAAACATATATACATACATACGAACAGACAAATATACATAAACGCATACACAGACGTATGTCTATACAGTTGCATATGGCCACGGGGCTCGATGCCGACAGCGCATGTTCGCTCTGGCCTGCGCGGCGCACCCTGCGTCCAGCACCGCATTCGGGCACGGCTCCGCCTACGGGCTCACGCGCGCGATTCCTGGCGGCCACCTCGACGGCGCGCCATCCTTCGCCGATCCTTCGCCGATCCCGGCCAAGCCCGTCGAGGAGCTCGACGCGCCAGATCATGAATTGCGGCACGCCGCCAGGAGAGCTGGTCGCAGCCACCAATTCGCCGATGGTTCTGCTGTCCGCGCCAGTGGTTCTTGCATTGGCCGCGCGCCGCTGCGACGCCTCGGGCCAGGTGCCGCCCCTGCGCCCCCGGGCGGCCCGCGCGTGGAGAGGTCGATTTGCTCGGCGCGCACTTGCCGCAAGCGCCAAATGCCCTGCTGCGACATTCAGCGCGGCCCCGTCCGATGTGCAAAGTCTAGCACAATTTTGCCAGGGCAGTTTTTATATATATATATATATATATATAGATATACACATGCGAATGCGTCTACAAGCTTACGCATGTGCATGCATATATAGGTATGTATTTGTATACAGATGTACGCATCTATTGTAGCCAAGGCGAACCCCTAACAGTGCCATGCGCGCGCGGCCGACGCGTTTTCGAGTGGCCCGCGTGGCGTTATTTGACACGGATCGCGCCCTTCCCCAGCACGCGCGCAAGGGCGTTCGAATGAGTTCGACATGCGGCGCGAGAGGCCCGTTTGGCAGAATTTGATGGTAAGGTTGAGAAGCCTATTGTTGTATTAATATTTCAAAGTCCGCGAGCGCAGGTTTTGTTACACTGATGTTGCGAAGTCATGTGTCTTGATATGTGTTCGAGGCACTGTTCTTTAAAATCCGTGCGAGGCTCAGGTTTTCGAAGGATTCGGGCATGCTCGCGCCACGACGTGCGCGCGTGCATTTCGTCCCGTTTTTCGCAAGGGGTTCTTGCGACCGCACGCGCGCGCAATAGCGTTCGAACGATTTCGACATGCGGGCGCGATAGGCCCGTTCGGTAGCATGTGTTCCAAATGTTGGAAACTTCGGGTGTTCTCAAGAGTTCACAAGAGCGCAGGCGCAGTTGTTTTGAAAACCTTGGTTGCGAAACCATGTTCTTTAGTTGTGAAGCTGGCGTCCTGACTCTCGAGTTTGAAATCATTGCGAAATCTGTTTCGTTTCTTCCCCAAGATAAGTTTTGGCATGCGCGCATGACGACGCGCGCGTGCGCACTCCGTCCCATGTGTTGCAATGGCTTCTTGCAAAGGGATGATTTGTGATAAACGAGTGCACGCGCATAATATTTGTTGCAGAGGATGGGGGGACGATACTGGCCTGCTTGTGATGGTACGGAGCCATGTTTGGGATGGACGATAGGGGCAGAACCATGTGTAAGTCACTACGGAAAAAGGTGAACCGTTAACCCCGGGCGGGGGTGGATCCGCATTTATTCTTTAAAAATAGCTTGGCGAAGGGCCCAACCATACGCATCTGTGGGTGCCGTCGTTGTGAACAGTGCCGTCGGTGGATCTTCTTTTAGGGCCACGGAGCGCGTGAAGGGTGTGCCGAACTGTAGCGGGACCGCCATGCGGGCGCTGCCATTGTGGCCTTAGATGGAGCTCCCTATGGGACCACAAAACTTGTGAGAGGTTCGCGGAAATGGAGGGTGGAACCGCATGTGGTCGTTGCCACCAGAGGCTTCGGTGGAGCCCCCTATGGGACCACGACGCGTGTGAGGGTGCACTGACATTGAGGTGGGACCGCATGCTGGCGCTGCCGCTGGGGCCATCGGGGGAGCTCCCTATCGGGCCACGAGCGTGCGATGGATTCGCCGAAATGGAGGGTGGAACTGCATGCGGACGCTGCCGCTGAGGCTTTCGGTGAAGCTCCCTATGGGGCCACGAAGCGTGCGATGAATTCGCCGAAATGGAGGGTGGAACTGCATGCGGGCGCTGCCACTGGGGCCCTCGGTGGAGCTCCCTATGGGACCATGGAACGTGAAAGGGGTGCGCCGAAACGGAGGGTGGAACTGCATGCGGGCGCTGCCATTGTGGCCTTAGGTGGAGCTCCTTATGGGACCACGACACGTGTGAGGGGTTCGTGGAAATGGAGGGTGGAACCGCATGCGGGCGTTGCCACTGGGGCCGTCGGTGGAGCTCCCTATGAGGCCACGGAGCGTGCGATGGTTTCGCCGAAATCGACGGTGGAACTCCATACGGGCGCTTCCACTGGGGCCCTCGGTGGAGCTCCCTATGGAACCACGAAGCGTGTGAGGGGTGTACCGAAATGGAGGGTGGAACTGCATGGGGGCGCTGCCATTGGGGCCTTCGGTGGAGCTCTCTATGGGACCACGAAGCGTGTGAGGGGCACACCGACATGGAGGTAGGACTGCATGCGGGCGCCGCCACTGGAGGATTCGGTGGAGCTCCCTATGGGGCCACGAAACGTGAAGGGTGTACCGAAATTGGGGTGGAACCGCATGCGGGCGCTGCCACTTGGGCCCTCGGTGGAGCTTCCTGTAGGACCACGACGCGTGTGAGGGGCACACCGACATGGAGGTAGGACTGCATGCGGGCGCTGCCACTGGGGCCTTCGGTGGAGCTCCCTATCGGGCCACGAAACGTGTGAGGGGCACACCGACATGGAGATAGAACTGCATGCGGGCGCTGCCGCTGGGGCCTTCGGTGGAGCCCCCTAAGGGGCCACGAAGCACTGCACTTGGTGCGGAGAGCAGAGGCAGGGATGGGAGGAGGGAGGAGGGGGAGGAAGGAGGAGGAGGGAGAACGCGGGGCGCTGTCTCTTCAATACGAGGACCCAACACCACAGGATAGCTAGGAAAAAGAGAGAATCAATGAGACGCCAAGTGATGCAACGCGATGCGGTTGCAATGCCATGCAATGCGAACCCGATGCGAGGCAGCGCAAAACAATGAAAATGCAATGCATACGCAACGCAAAACAGTGTAACACATGCCAAAGCAATGCGAAGCAATGCTGAGCCGCGCGGAGAAATTCGAGGCAACACGAAGCAGAGCGCGGCAACGCGGCGACGGGCGGCGACGAGCTGGCCGGACCGCCACCGGGGCCCAGCGGCGACTGCGTCGACGGGCGGCGACGATCCGGCCCGACCGCCATTGGGCGCCCGGCGACGGCAGCGCGGCCGGCGTCATCGAGCCGTCTAGGACGCCGCTGGGGCCCAGCGGTTTGAACGAGGAACCACTACGTGCAAGCACTGTTTGGGGAACACATGTGTGCTCACGTATACAGGGAGGGGAACAGGGAGAGAGAGCGAGAGAGAGAGAGAGACATATGGACGACCAATATATCACGCGACGAGAGAGAGAGTGAAAAAAATGAGAAAACAAATAATGAGAGAGATGGAAGACAAACATAAGAGTTAACGAGAGAGAGAGAGATGTTTAGGGGTAGGTCGGGCGGGGGGCCTGAACCACAACCTCAGTGCAGCGCGGGCGCTCGGGGCGGGCTCGGGCGGCCCCAAGCGGTCTCAGACATCCCCGAGCGGCCTCTCTGGACGCCGAGTCCACGCAACAGTGTCGGAAGATGTTCGCACGGTTCGTTTCGGCGTTGCCTTGCCGTGGCGTGTGCCAGTGCTTTGTTGCGCTCTCCTCCTCTCGCCTTGCTGCACACGAAGCGCCAAGCTGCGGATCTGTCATCGCCCTTCCAGCGAAGAGTGCAGGGACGGGGTCGTCTCTCCCCATCTTTTTCTCACCATCTTCCGCCCAAAGAGGCGGCGACAGCACGGCCATTCAAAGGGCGGGTTCGCTTGACCAGAGTCGGGTCTCCTGCTGATGTTTTCCTGCTCTTTTCCCCTCCTTCCCTCCCAGCATCCTCGTTGTCCTCCTCCTCCTCGCTTGCCCTCCTTTGCTCTCACTCCCCTCGCTCCCCCCCCCCCCACCCAACACCTCTCGCCTCCACCGTTTCCGTCGCAGTCCGTCGGCTGTGGTGCTGGGTCTGCCCGCCGCCCCCGCAGGCTCCTGGAAGCCCGTCCTCTGTGCCGTGCTCCTCCTCGCCCGCCTCCCGGGTGCCCAAAGCATTCGCTTCGGCCCGAAGCGGTCGCAGGTAGCTCACCGCCACCGCAGCACCCACTCTGCACGAAAGGTTTTTTTTTTTTGTCGAAGGCAGACCTGCCTCGACAGAAAGATGTCCTGGAGGCAGATCTGTAAGAGCGCTTCTCTTGGCAGGCATGTGGGCCATGTGGGGGGGCACGTCGCCGATCCATCCGCGACACGTCGCCGGTTTCAGGCCGACGCGCCTCCCCCTGCGGGTCCCGGCCACGGCGTGGCCCCCCCCCCTCGCTCTCGCGGCGGCGGGCCCGCCCGGGGGAGGCACCCCTGCAGGCTCATGTGCACGAGCCCGTCGCTGGCGCAGGAGCTGTGGATGTCCACGACCTGCGGCGGGGTGGGGCGGGCTGGGCCCTGGCAGCGGAGGGCGATCGAGGTATAGGATCGAGGGAGGAGGGAGGAGGGAGGAGGGAGGGAGGGAGGAGGGAGGAGGGAGGAGGGAGGTCGATTCGGGGAGGGCGCCCCTGGCGTTCCCCTCGGCTGCTCCTCACGTTGGGCCGGCGGAGGGCCTCATGTTTTTTTGAGCGGCCTCCTTATATCCCAGGTCCGGCTGCACCGATGCCGCAAGCCTCACAGGGGCTTCGGCCCCCCTCAGGATCGAAGACAGTTCTGACGAGCGCGGGCACAGCTCAGGAGGGAAAGAAACACACAGACACAATGAATCGTCGATTCCCCCGAAAAGATGGGGAAATCTGGGAATTTGGGGGGAAGACAGAACCCAGAAAGTATGGGGAAATATGGGGAATCTTTTTATTTGTGTGTATTTATTTGTGTGTCCTTGGGCCCCTTCAATAGTAACGAATTGGGACCCCAAACAAATATGTGGAAAGAGTCATCCCCCCGCGGTGGCCACCGCTCAGGCCTCCGCCGTCGTCGCCGCCAGCGCCGCCGTCGTCATCTTACTCGCAGAGGGCCGCTTGAGGGCCCCAGAACGCCAGTGACAGGACAATTTGCCCGGAAATTCTGGGGACCACTGGACTCAGGAGGGGAAAAACACACAGACATAATTAATCGTCGATTCCCAGGAAAATATGGGAAAATATGGGAAGTGGGTTGGAAGACAAAAACCAAGAAAATATGATAACATATGGGGAATATTTTTATTTGTGTGTATTTATTTGTGTGTCCTGGGGCCCCTTCATGGACCACGGTTGAACAATCTGCAAGGCAACTATATCCGCACGCCGGTCGCGTCTATGGGAACGGGCAAATTCATCAAGAGCAGGGCGCCGAGCCATTTCATGTACGCCCGAGTGCCGCCTTCGCCGCCGACGCGCCCCAGAGCGTATGGCTTTTGCATCGCCTTTCCTCCTGATCAGTTTCTCCTTGTTCGCACAGGCTGAACAGGAGACGCCCATTGCGTGGGAGGGCGAGGGGGAGGACGAGGATGGGAAGCACGAGTTTCTTTGCCAGCCGAGAGTTTTTTGGGGGCGTCATCGGCAGCATTAAAGACCCTCTGAGGTTACCGTTGTCTCGTTTTGGCCTTTTGGGGCCTCCTGGGAAGCCCTTATGGCTCCACCTCGAAGTCCTGATCAGAACCCGACCCGTGAGAAGTCTGGACTCTGGGGAACAGCGGTATCGGTAATATCGGCTTCCCCCTGGTGGAGCGGTCTCGACGCGTGCCTTCGTTCTCCCAGAGCTGTCGGATCCTCAGCGTCGGGGGGATCTATCGGTTGCCTGCGTCGCCCGCAAATCTCGGGGCAGGCCAAATAGCACAAACTTAAACTGCTGGGGCCCAGCGCGGATTTCTTGGGTCTGTGCCGTTCATGCCGTTCTATTTTCTTTGTATGGGGTCTTTCGGATCTGGGCGTCGCCCAAGAAAAGAAGTTGTAATGGCTGTTTGTTTTGCGCTTCTTCGGCCTCCAGATATCTTTTTCCCAGGCCGAGGACCGTCAGCAGAAGACCACTCCCTGTGCTAGGGTTGGCCCCCGGGAAGCGGTCGAGATCCCCAGGGGCCCACGTCACGGGCATTGCATGAGAGATGGGAGGACGGAGGAAGGCGGGGAGCTCGCTTCGGGGGGACACGCCGGCGAAGACAGAGAGACAGGCAGCGCGGGGCACCGGGGCCCACCTCGTGGGGCTTCGCGGAGGGCTACGGAGGAGGCTCTGGCGCCGAGGCTTCCTGCGGCGGTGGAGTCTCGCCGCCTGCATGGGGCAGCCATGCGAGGCGACTGCCAAGGCCAGGGCGCCAGGTCCCGCGGCCCGCGGCGGCCGGGAGCGGGGCGCGCGCAGCTCGGCAGCGGGTCTGGGAGCCAAGCTTTGTGCTTTGTTGCTGTCCCGGCGGGGTGCTCGGAGTCGCCGCAGTGGCGGGGAGTAGAGTTGCAGGGGCCGGACAGAAGTGGACCGCGTGGCAGAATTCGCTTGGCTCGCCCAGCGGGCCGGCGCTGGCATTATAGAGCGCCTGCGGGCCACCCGGATGCTCTTCATACCGAGCGGGACATGCGCAAGGACCGACCATCACGCTGTTTAGCTTGGTTTGTGCCCTTTCTTATTTTCGTTGTTCGTTGTGGTTTCGTTTCGTTTCCGCTGTTGTTTTAAACACCCCGTTTCGTCGTTAGGGTTCGTTTAGCACTTGCTTCGTTTCAAACGTTCGCCTTTATCGTTGAGCCTCGTTTTGCTTTTCGCTTGTAAGCGCCATTTCGTTCTAAACATCGTTGTGTCGGTTCCTCCACATGTGCCAGGAGGGGGAGACCATGAGCGAGGACGCGAAGGAGAGCAGCCGCAGCGGGGCGCCAGGAACTTCCATGTCATCCACTGCCCTGGACATCAAGGACGACCTGAGTCTGCTGAAGGGCCAGTCCGACTTGCAGGACTATCGGCGAGCCCACGGTTCCTTCCACCGTCACCGGCAGCCAAGCTCAACGGGACAGCCACAGACACCCCCAACGACAGTTTGCATCGTTCATACCTCCAGCGCCACCGTCGCCGCCATCACCCCAGTCATCATGAATACCAATTACCATTGCAACGCTGCGGCTTTACTCTCACTTGCGTTCGATATTCAAGGGTTATTGCGGGGAGGATCTAATTCAGACCGACCGCATTTGGAGGAGCTGTTATTCTTGCTGCCCTGGGGGGCCGATCGGCTTTGACACCCCACCCCTCCTGACCACATGCCTCCCGCCGCTCAGCCCACGCCCGAGCACTCCCCCCTGGCCTTCCGCAGCCGCGCCCTGCCATCCGAGCGTCATGCCCCGGCCATGGCAGGGTCCCCCCCTGCCACCACCATACAGTCGGGGCCCTGAAGAAGGAACCCTTTTGGTTGGGGAGGGGCTCCGCGTTCCTTGATTGTTTCACAGCTTGCCTTAGGTTTTCCTTAGGTTTTCGATGGGAAGTCGAACTTTAACTGATGGGAAAAAGGGGCCTCGTTCCTTACTTAGGGTTCCTTAGGTCAACGCCCCGACTGTATCCAGGGGGAAAGGCAGAGAGGTGGCGGGCCTCCTCGGAGGGCCCGGAAGGCAAGGCCGCTGGCCCTCCGAGGAGCTCTCCAGCCCTCCTCCGAAGACACCTCCTCGGAAGGCCGGAAGGCCGGAGGGCCTCTGGGAAGCCCGTCTCCACTCCCTCGGCGGGAATTGGATCTAACATTTTCCATGAGTGTTGCTTGTTTTTGCCGTCCCATAGCATATAGGAGAGTTTAGCATATTGTTCCTGGTCCCTGAGGCGCGAACCCCTTCTCACTTCCCCGCGTGGCGCGCCGCCGAACCACGATGCCGTGGGCTCCCTGGCAGTGCCCCCCCGCCCTCTCGCCCCCCCGCAGTGGGAGGAAGAGCGAGGCGAAGAGGGATGAGCGCCTTTGCACGCCCCGAGCGAGCCAGCCGACGCATGCGCTGATGTGGTGCTGGCCGATGCATGGGCGGGGCCCCCTCAGTCCGACGATTGTGCACGGGGCAGTCCTTGTGATGGCGACTGCCTCGACTCAGTGTAGACTGCATACGGTAGGTGTGCGCCGCGTTGACGCGGTGGCGACCCCAGCGCGGGCGTTCGAGCTTGGATGCCGCCAGTGGCCGAGAATCGGCCGATGTCGAGCGATCTGCGCTGTCGGAGGAGCCGCGATCGTTCAACGTTGGACGATCTTCGTGGCGTCAGAAGCCAGCGCCGAAGTCATCGCGACACGAACCTAACGTAAGCGGAAGTTTTCGGAGGTCCGCGGATTTCTCAGATCTGCGTCGGGTCCCCCTGACGTCGTCAGGGGCGCCGCCTCCGACGCGCTCCGCGCGCAAAGGAGGGGGGGTTCCAGCGCCGATCCGAGAAATCGATGCCGCATCCGAGAGCGATGGTTTCTTCCTCGACGACGACGGCGGCGGCGGCGACGGCGACGGCGGCGGCGGCGACGACGACGACGACGACGTTCAGCGCCGATCCAAGAAATTCACGTGGACCCATGTTTTGGCAGGTGCTTCTCCCTCGAGCTTGCGGTGTGCGTTGCCGCGCGGTGCTCTCAACCTGTGGGTCCTGCCAGTTTCAGCACGGCTCTTTATTATAAGAATACATAAATTATACAATCATAAAAAAGTTTCCGCACGGCTTCGCGCAGGACGGGCACGCATCGCCTGCCCTGCCGTGGCCCTTCTCCAGAGAGAGGGCGCGGCCCTCCGGCGGTCGGGAGGGGCCGACCTCTCGACCGCGTCGGCAGCGCACGGCCGAAGCTCGGTGCGGAGGCCGGCGAGGAGGCCTGCAGGAGGGCCCTGTTGGGGGCCACGGCCTTGCCTGGCTTCAGGAAGGAGGGAGGAGGAGACCTCCTCCTCCTCCTCATCCTCCTCCACCTCCTCCTCCTCCTCCTCCTCCTCCTCCTCCTCCTCCTGCGGAAGCCGCACAGCAGAAGACACCCGATCGATGTGTGTGTGTGTGCGCCGATCAAAGTTCCGGTCGGCTGCAATCAAGCTGACATGTCGCGGCTGGCATTTCAGGAGGAGCTTGTCTGGGCCAGATTCGGGGCCCCCGAGGGGTCCCAGGCCCTCGGGTTCTCCGCTATCGCTCGTCCGGGCAACGACGGCGTCGAGAGTTTCTACGTGCGCTCATGTCTTGTTGTTTAGGTTCAGGCGTTCTGGGTGGAGCTTGCCGTGTGCTTTGCCAGTTGCGTTTCGTGCGGGCCGTGCTCTGCGATCCCAGAAGCCTCGCAACAATGCAACTGCCAAATGACGGAGCTCTTCTTCGAACTTGGAGACGTCACTTCTGGCACATGTTCAACACTGGCACGATCTGGGCTGTTGAATCCGGTCGCCTCTTCGAGACCTGGTCTTGTTCACTTACCGACCGCCTAAGCATACCCCATACAACTGCCAGCCTCGCCACACCCGCCCCCCATGCAGGGCCAGGATCGGAGCACCTGCGGCGCCACCTGGGCTCACCCTCGCCCTCATCCTGCTCCTGCATTGCCCTTCTGGCCCCTCTCCCCCGCCCCCTCCTCCCACTCCCATCCCCCTTCGGCTCGTGCACCTGACCTGGGCCCGTCGGCGACATCCTCCCTTGTTTCTCATCGCTCCTCGTCCAGGAGTGGACGGGGATGATGGCGCTCACGATGTCGCGGTCGCTCGCGAAGGACCCTGACGGGCGGCCGATGCTGGCGCTCGGCTCGGACTTCCTCCAGGACCCGGGGTGTAACGAATTTGATGCTTGGTGTGCGTGTGTATGAGGACCTGCGGGCGTGACCCGTCCCCCTGAGCGGCCCTCGCCCCTCCCCCCCTCCTGCGGCTGCCCTCCCTGTCTTCTCCCCCTCGTCCTGCATTGTGGCACAATTCGCTAGACGGTGCCCGCGTTTATATAGCATGTCCGCCAGCGCAGTTACTCTGCCTAGCCGCGACGCAAAACGAGTGAGTATGAGGATTTTTTTACAGAACGCGAGCGGACGGGGATTGAGAGAGGGAGAGAAATAGAGAGAGAGGGGGGGAAAAAGAGAGAGCGAGAGAGAGAACGAGGGTGTGAGCAAGCGAGCGGGAGAGGGATAATACGCAGCATCCCAGCATTGGGGATGAGAGGGGGGGTGCGGCGGAGACGTCGGCAGTTTGTGAGGCTCTGCGGAAGCCCGCCACAGGCGCCGAGTTTTTCGTTAAAGCGCTGGGGGTGGGTCGCGGGTGGATCGTGGGTGAACCGCAGTTGGGTCGCGGGGGGTGGGTCGCGGGTGGGTCGCGAGTGGGTCGCGGGTGGGTCGCGGGTGGGTCGCGGGTGGGTCGCGGGTAGGTCGTGGGCCGGGTCGCAGTTGGGACGACGACAACCAACACACAATCTAACATCAACAATAACAGCAGCAGCAACAAGAACAATCATTTTTAGGCTGTTTGCTCTGACCTGTTTGCGTGCCATTCAACACATATATCCTACACCATCGGTGCCTGCCTTTTTCGTCTTCAATCGTACCCCCCTGGGGGATATATCTTCCGTACCTGCCGCGTGTAGTTGGTGCAACGCCTGAGGCAGGGGAAGAGAGGACGGATGGAAGGAGGAGGGAGAAAGATGGAGCACCGGATTAGCAGGGGGGCTGGGAGCAGAACGCGCGTGGCAGAACCAGATGGGCCGATCGGGCGGAAAGACCTTACCTGGCGGGTCGGGAAGGCGGGCCCAGGCATCCAGTTCAAGAAAGCGTGTTGACGAAGCGTGAGTGCTGCATGAATCGCGAGGAGAGCTCGAACGATAGCGCGATTCCCAAATAAGTCGTGTGACAGGCCACAGCGAGAGTGTGATTCCTAAGTGTCGAGGGCGCGGCGTTTGAATACATTGCGAGGACGTCCAACGCGATAGCGCGATTGCTGCGTAACCGGTGAGAAATTCCCACGCGAACGCGCGATTTTGGAATACACTGTGAGGAAGGATTTTGCGGGAGCCGCTGTTGTTGCAAATTGGGGGGCCAAGGGCACAGTTTGGTGACACCAAGGTTTCCTTGATACAAACTGGGTGCGGGTCCCGAGGGGGGCACTTCATTTCAAAAGATACAATGGTTACCAGAGGGGTGGGATCAACAATGATGATGAGGACAACAAAAACGTCAACAAACACAATCATTTTTAGACTATTCGCTCTTACCTGCCCGCGTGCCATATGCAACACGTATATCCCAAGCCCTCCGTACACGCCCTCTTCGTCTTCGATCGTACCCCCTCTGGGGGTATATCTTCTTTCCATGCTGCGTGAAATTGGTACAACCTCTGAAATCGGTGAAGAGAAGACGGATGGTAGGGGGAAGGGGGACATATGGAGCACGGGATTAGCAGGAGGGGGGCTAGGAGCAGAAAGCACGTGGCATAACCAGACGGGCCGATCCGGCGGGTAGACCCTCACGGGCAGGTCGGGAATGCGGGCCCAAGCGGCCATGTCGAGAAGGCGTGTTGATGAAGCGTGAGCGTTGCACGAGTTGCGAGGAGAGCTCGAGCGATAGCGCGATGCCCAAGTAAATCTCGAGAAATGCCAAATCGAGATTGTGATTCCTAAGTGTCGAGGGCGCGGCGTTTAAAAACATTGTGAGGAAGTCCCACGCGAGAGCGCGATTGTTGCGTAACTTGTGAGAAAGTCCCGCACCAGACCGCGATGAGGGAATACCTTGTGGGGAAGTATCGCGCGGGAGCCGCTATTGTTGCAAATTTGGGGCCGAAGACACAATTCAGACCCAAGACGTTCCCTGATAAGAAACCGGATGCGAACCCAGGGAAGGCACTTCAATTGAAAAACGCGGTGTGCCCCAGAGAGGGGATCAACAATAATCGTTCGTCAGGGGTAGGAGTTCAACAACAACAACACCATAAGCAACAACAACAGCATCAACAACAACAGCAACACAGGCACCAACAACACCAACAACAATAACACTCATGTTAAGACTTTTGGCTCTTATACGCGTGCGTGTCAACCAACCTGTGTTTCCCAAGCCCTTGGGTACCCACCCTCTTCGTCTTCGATCAGACCCCCTTGGGGGTATACTTCTTGATTGCAACTTGTGTTCCGTGCAGCCCCGAAGGCAGGGGAAGAGAGGACGGATGGAAGGAAGGGGCCAGGGGGAGGAAGGAGGTTGGATCACGAGCGAGAGTGGCACGAGGGGGGCTAGGAGCAAAAAGCACGTGGCAGAACCAGGCGGGCCGATCGAGCGGGTAGACCCTGACAGGCGGGTCAGGAAGGCGGGCCTGGGCGGCCAGGTCGAGCAGGCGGGTTGCTGAAGCGTGCGTCCTGCATGATTCGCGAGGAAATGTCGAGCGATAGCGCGATTCACGAATAAACCGTGAGGAAGTCCACAGCGAGAGCGTGATTCCTGAGTGTCTGGGGCGCGGCGTCTGAATTCATTGCGGGGAAGTCCCACGCGAGAGCGCGATTCTGGTATAAATTGTGAGGGCGTCCCGCGCGAGAGCGCGATTTGGAAATACACTGTGAGGAAGTATCAGGCGGGAGTTGTTTTTTTGCAGTTCGTGGGCCACGGGCGCGTTTTGCCAACCCCGAGCTTTCCCTTGTACGAAAACAGGGTGCGAGCCCCGGGAGAAACACTTGAATTTAACACCACCGAGATTACTGGGCAGGGGGGAGCAACAACACATATTTTCTATGAGTGGGAATTCAAGACCAACAACATCAATCATGTTAAATGTGTTCATTCGTGCATGCTCGCGCGCTACCCAACACGTAGGTCCCACACCCTCGGTACCCGCCCTCTTGGTCCCGATCGTACTTGTTAGGGAGATGTCTTCTTGTTCACCTGCAATGTGTATGTCGTGCAGCCCCTAAGGCAGGGGAAGAGAGTACTGATGGAAGGAAGGTATTTTGGGGGAGGAAGGGGATCGAGCACGATACATTTTACATACGTATATGTGTGTAGCCATTGATCTGTGTGGATATATATATATACATATTTATATATACATACATACATACACATAGAGAGCTAAATGGGGGGGATATATAGAGAGAGAGAGAGAGAGGGAGAGGCAGAGAGTAGCAGGAGGGGGCTCGGAGCAGCAAGCGCGTGGCAACACCAGACGGGCCGATCGGGCGGGTAGGCCCTAACGGGCGGGTCGGGAATGCGGGCCCAAGCGGCCAGGTCGAGCAGGCGGGTTGCTGAAGCGTGCGTCTTGCGTGAATTGCGAGGAAATGTCGAACGATACCGCGATTCCTAAATCAATCGTGGGGAAGCCATAGCGGGAGTGTGGTTCTTGGGTATCGAAGGCGCGGCGTCTGAAAGTATTGTGAGGACTTCCCACGCGAGGGCGCGAACCGTGCATCAAGTTGTGGAAGTCCAGCGCGAGAGCGCGAGCTGGGGAGCAGTTGTGTAGAAGTGTCAGGCGGGAGCCGCTGTTGTTATAAACGGGGGGCAGCAACCCAGTCTGGTGACATCTGATTTTCCCTTTCAATAAGCAGGGTGTGAGCCACAAACTAACCTTTCAACTGAAACCTGCAACGGTTACCTGGCAGGGAGATCAACAATCATTATGTTAGAACTGAAAGTTCAACAGCAACAGCAACAATAAGCAACATAATAAGTAGATGAAGCAGTCGAACTTGCAATGTTTGTAGTAGTCGTGCTTGCAAGCGGACGCGAATGAGGTGAGGAGTGGGAACCTGGGCCAGCGCCACGGCGGCGCGCATGCCGCGAGAGGAGGGGCCCAGGAAGAGGAGGAGGAGAAGCAGAGAGCGAAAACAGACTCCCTCGAGTCTGAAACAGGAATATTGCCCCTTGTTTGGTAACGCGCCCTATGTGGGGGAAGAAATCCAGTTGTGGCCTCAGGGCAAGGCCTCATCTCCTTCTGTTTCCTCTGGCAGGAAGGTTTGGGGTCATGGGGCCGTTTCTCAGGAAACCGCGGCGTTCGAGTTGAGTATTTGGACCGTCGATTATATCAGGTGGGGCACGGTGAGAGGCATCTTCGGGAGTGTGTTCACCACTGCACACATTGTTCTGTGAACTGTCTGCTCGGGCCTCCGCATCAATCCTGGAGGTCACTTGGAAATCGCCCTGGATCGGATGTATCCCTGAACCCCAGGGAGGTGATTCAGGAGGTGTCGCTGTATTTGCTAGGTCTTGGCTAGGGTTCCACGGTGCAGCCGAGCGTTGCATCGCCAGGGGCCGCTGCATGGTGTGCAAAATGCACCCTCCGAGCGCGCCCTCGTTCGTGTTCGCTTCTGCTTACGTGCAGCACTCAGCCGGCCTCAACGTGGAAAGCGGCACTAATTTCAACGACTTAGGGGGCTACCTCACATCTCAGCCGTCCGAGTTCTCTGTCGCGGGGACTTTTACTCCGACCCCGACAGCCTATAGGGCAGCGGCTTCCCGAAACAGGCAGGGGGACAGTTGGTGACAAGCAAGGAGCACACCCACTTTCTCTCGACGGGTCCCGCTGACAAGTTTGACTGCTTCCTTGCCTTCAATCAGCTGGCCAAGGGGCCTAAAAGTGCGCAGGTGCATTCGGGCATCGCGCTGTACCCCACCGCCCTGTGTTCTTAGTTCTTCATCCGCAACTGCTGCTGTTCAAGGCTCTCGCCTTTAGGAGTCCGCCGCCTCTGCCTGTGGACCTTCCGTCCGGGCCGAGGCCCTTCGAGTGCAGCACCGATTTGGATAAATGAATGGATTTTCTTGACACTGCGGTGGACGCGGTGCGTCACGGTGACGAAAACCTCGCG